GAATGGAGGTCACTGGATGCCGTTGGTATAGTACTGATAACTATCGTACAACTTAGTCGTCATTGAGTGCAGCGATTCTTCAACCATACGATCTACTCGTCGTAGCAATTGATCATCTGTACAGTGAAGATGAAAACGCTCACGCAGACCGGAAACAGCCAGACTACCGGAGGCGCGGGCGAAACAGGGTAACTGTGGACACGTGGCTCGAGCGATCTCGACCAGAACACAAATCTGGACAGATAAACAGATAAATCGGGAACGGAGATTAGCAGACAAGAATATAACTGTGCAAACATATAGGAGGTAATCCGTGAATAGCTAAATCGGAGCATAGCAGCTGTTAGGACTAATACGAAAAAAACAGTGATGTTCGCGGATAAAGGCTGTGCAGCATTAAAGTAACTTGCTGACGTCAAGTGGTATTCGCCTGACAGCAAGATCGATTACAAAACCATGGAAGTGATATCGGTATCACAAGGGAACCACCAAAGTTACAAATCAAGTCCGACTAAAACAATACGAACGGTGTGTTGTAGGACAACCCTCTGATAGACTGCTTCCCTCTTCCTTAAGATTGCATCATTATATATGTATTCAATAAAAGGAAAAGTCAAAAGTGAGTACGCGGTAAGCAACACCCGATTGTCGAACTTCACCGTGCCAAATCTAGCCATGGAGGTGTTTTGTTTTACCCTTCACTACGCTACCCACTCGTGTCGATATGTGTCCGGTCGACGAGGGCTCTCATGTTTATCGACAGCAACCTCCAACTCATAACTCACAAGGCTCAATCGAACGGATTACCTGGACTGCGTGACAACGATAAGCTCTGTTTGAGTAGTCTGGCTTTTTTTAAGGTTACCCAATGTGACGAAGAACTGGTTTGTCGGATTTTATCTCCCACCCAGGGGGTGGGAGTGTATTTGCACAAGCATACGCGCTGTCAGATTTGCGTTGCAGGCAATGCCATGAACCCCACACTTTTCTTACGTAATTTATCAGTAATCAATCCATCCGGATTTGTATTATGACTTTTGTAAACTGGTTTATTCCATCATGACAAGACTACACCTTGGCGTGGTGTGATCGTTTGCGTGCATCCATGACCCTGTGAGCTATACAGGATAGCTCCTCACTGCCGCAGATCCAATCATGTACCGTAAACGTGGTGCACGTCGCAAACGGTAATCGACTCGCCAGTGACACGGGTAGTGTTGCGCAATGAAACGGAACAATGCGTACCACACCGGATTGCTTTTTGGATCGATTGAAGACCTTCGAAACTTGATCGGACAGAGAGAAAAAACACGCGGTTTCGAGATCCACACGATTTGTCGTTTCGAAGTGCTTGATTCCACCCACATTGATCACATATGCGGTTTTACTTTCAATACATTTGAATGTCAGACGCGGAGGTGATTGACAAC